TTTTGTTATTCTTTTTTATTTAAAAAACAATATTAAGGTAATTGATATGGCAAGAGAAATCTGAATTCATCAGAGCCAGAGACAAAGTGTTGTAGCAGTTGCTGCATCATCCTAAGGCAGTGGTTCTCAACCTTTCTAATGCCGCGACCCCATAATACAGTTCCCCATGTTGTGGTGACCCCAAACCACTTATACATCACCGGGTGCCAGGGGCGTGGCCAAAGAAAAGGGGGAAAAAATGGCGGACAGCCTTGTTTGGCGACCCCCGTGAAATGGTCGTTCGACCCCAAATGGGGTCCCGACCCACAGGTTGAGAACCACTGTCCTAAGGCCAGATATTTAGTAATGAGATTCTCACAGTCTCTCCTGTAATTTTGATTGCTTTAGTTCCATGGAGAAACTGAAAATCAAAAAAGTAGGAATGTGACTATTCTGAAGGGGGGAAAATGCAGGACCCGTGTTTTTGCCAGCATTTCTTTTGTTCATACAAACTCCAAATGTTTTTTTAATTTTTTTAAAAGTTAGATTTGGTTTCAATTTTTTTTTAAAAAAAAGCCTATCTTCCTTTTTGAAATCTTAAGCCTTTTATTTCCTTTGTCTTATATGTGAATCTGTTTATATTCTTCCAAAGCTCAAATGCTTTCTTTCTTTTTTAATAAAAATTCTGTATTTATTTGATTGTTGATTGATTGGGTTTTGAAGCTACCCAACTCCAAAACACTCATGGTGAACTCACATTTTGAAAAGATTGCACGATTTTAAAAAAACCTGTTAGCTGTTTTTTAATCTATTTTCCATTCTAAAACCCTTTAAAGCTTTTTATTTCCCTTCTCTTATATCTGCATCTGTATAAATTCTCCAAAGTATGTCTATAGCTGCTTAGCTGCTAGAGAAGTTTTGTTCAAAACTTTGATATAACATAAGAAAAACAGGAGTGCTGATAAATTGTTTTCTACTTTTATGTATTCCCTTTGACAGTGTATCTTAATTTAATTAATCAAATATATGATAAGCCAGGCTGGCATGTTACAATTTATTTTTCTTGTATTCTCTGTAATGAAGAAAGCAGGAAAATATCCTGAAAAAATGAAGAGGGGATGGGTTGGATATGTCTTTGCTTCACCTATTCCAAACAATTTGTGTTTTTTCATCTGTTCCCAATTAATGTGAAAGAAGTTCCAAATATGAATGGAAGCTTCTTGTTTATACAAATCTTGAAACTGGGTACCAAAAGCCAATTGGCACGCTTTAGCTTGTAGTATTATTGGAATGAAATAAAATACTATTGAAATTATCAGAAATAATATTTAGAATCAGAACTGATAAGTTAAGTCTCATACGTTTCATTATTTCTAAGAAACCATGCTCCATGTTTTACCATTAAATACTGAACAGCTGATATATATTTCTACATAAGAGTGGGAAGCTCAAACCCTATTAATATGATTACAGGAAAGCAATTAATTCAATATAGTGAAGCAAGTAGTGCCGTTTCATATGACATCAGGCACATAAAAATGATTGGGAACTTCCTTTTTTTTTTTTTTTTTGATTAAGCACTAAGAATGGTATTTGGAAAGAAGCATTATTTGAATGAGAATGAGAAGACCTAAACATTAGTGCATTATTTATTTTTTACTGCACCATTTCTAACTCTGTCTTAGAAAACAATCCTTTGCCCAGAACACAGATCATCAGGAGCACTGTGAGAGTTAAATAGCAACTGGAGACTTCTCTGCAAACGTATAGGACAAGTGGAAAGAATTGACCCTTTCTTTGGCATCCTACTTCTGACCGAGTTCTCCATCAGGGAATGGGGTTCCCTGATGACATTTGCTGAGGAAAGGAAAGTGAGAGCTTATTGTTCTTACACACACAGAGAGAGAGAGAGACACACAGGGTCATCACATAAACCTTTTCACAGATTTAGGCAAATCTTCTATCTGAGTTCCTTGTAATGTAGGCTGATAGGCACATGAGACAAATGTTTGAAGCAGCAGATTTTGAGTGTCACAAAAAAGACCAGCAATTCTTATGTTTTTAATGGATTATTGACCTTTCCTGCCAAGAAATAGGAAAAGCCCTTGTGCAATATTGTAATTCAGATGCCAAAATAATCACTTGACTGGCATAGAGTGCAGGGCATTTTGGTGGAGGTGGAGAGAGATGCCATTTTCTCTTCAGCCTTAAGGAACAAACTGTCTTAGATCAGACTTGTAGCCTTGTCATTCATGCCCTATTAAATTGTGTGTTAAAAAAGAAAATGACCCTGATGAAGTTTGAGAGCTGCCTTAGGATGATAGGTTTCTTAATCTGAGATTATGGCATATCCCATTCTGAATTGCAATCAGATTTCTCTGTCATACAAGATCCTGTATGATATGATTCCTTTGCTTTTTACTAGATTGGCTTCTCCATAAGCTTAGTGTTCAGCCTTATTAACTATAGTCAATTTATCTCTTTCATAAGAGAAAATCTAAATTTCAGCTTTAGTCAAAATTGCTCTTGAAAATAACTAGGCTTGTTCCACTGCAAACCAATGTCCCCCACCCCCTCATTTCAAGACAATTAGGACCCTCACTGCACAACCACAATTCCCACAATAAAGATTCTGAGTCCACAACAATGAAGTCCTTAGGAAATAAAAAAATGGCTGTATATGTGCTGGAATGCAGCATTTTATAGAATTAAAGAATCCCCAATAAGCATAAAAGGAAACCTCTTACTAAAAATTTTCATAAGAACTTAATATCTTCCCCCATGAGCTATATATCAAGACTCTCTTTTGGAAAACAAGAATATACATTGAAGCAAAGGGGAAGCCTGAGCTGCTGCAGCTAATGGAAACCGCATTCCATGTGGTCCATTTGTATTGGATAATTACCTTATTGAATGGCAATTATAAAAATCATAATTGAACATGTTGGAAGACTGGTTTTTAGTTTCCTTAAGGAGCACATGATTGGTTGAAATCCAACACAGCACACTTATTGATAAGTGAGAATACACATCAGTATTCTTCCCCTGTAGATGCTACTTGATCCTTTACAATGTGTGTTCTTTTAGAGGTGACTCACCCTGCTCTCTGTGGCATGGAAAAGCCTGCTAATTGTTTTTAAAATGTGGTAGCCTTTAACTTAAGACATAGTTCAACTACAGAAAATTTTTACATTTATTTTTAGCTTTCCAAATGCATAATGTTTTTCTTCTGCTGATAGAAATAATATACAATACCTCACTGATGATTTTTGTGACGACACACTCAGGGGCTGGGATCTGTTGTTGTTGTTATTGGCTACTTTAGGTTGTTGAAAGCACCCAGCTCTCCTCCATTCTCTGAGCACTGTTCTCCATAGCCATTTTGGCTTAGGCTGCAGGGAGACTGGCCAGGACGCTTGTGCCAAGGCATCTTGCTCATGGCAATGTTCAGAACATTTGTTAGATGCTATGTAGACTGCTAGTACATAGAAGTTCCTTCTCTCTGAAAGAGCAACAGATCTATGCTGTTAGGAAACAAAGTTAGGGAAATAGGAGTGATGCCTCTCACTCATTCTTTTGTTGTTGTCATTTTTGTACCTTCAGGTCAATGCTGACTTCTGGCAGTTACCTAGACTAGTCCCAGAAAAGTATGTGCATGTGGGGGGGGGGTAGAAATGGTTTAGCATCTTCACAGCCTTGAGAGAATGATTGGTCCAAAGTCACCCAACTAGTTTCATACCTAAGGTATGACTAGAACTCAGAGTCCTTTGGTGTCTAGCCTTGACACCAACAGAGCCCCATTTCATCACTTTACTGTTAGTTTATTAATTATCTTGCTTGCTGTTTATATTTATTTACTTTTTGGATGTTTTACTGTTTGAATGTTTTTAATTGTTTTATAATTTTAGAATTGTAAGCTGCCCAGAGTCACTTGGTTGAGTTTGATGGCTATAGAAATTGAATGGATGAATGGCTGACTGAAAATAACTTGAAACTCTCCAGTTTTTGGAGAGAAAAACACTTTCTCATCCCCCATTCTTGTCTTCTTCCCTTTCTCTTGTTCTGTGTGGGCATATGCATGTGGGCATCTTAACCAGTTTTTGCACAGGTAGCACTCCATCTTCAGTAATTTCTGATTATCAGCAAACAATCCTGCTGAATCTCTTCTCCAATTCAGCTGCCTCTCCTCACCTTTCAGTCATTTTTTAATTATTCTTTAACACACCTTTCATGCTGGCCCAGAATAGAACTATCCCAGAAGTGCTCTAAATGTAGTCCCAAAATGAGCCTATCAGCTGATAGTCAGGCTCCCTTTCAATTTACACATACAAAAATTACACACAGAGAGCTTCTGCCTCCTGATGCAATAATGAATTCTTCCGAGCAGTTTTGCAGTCCCCTCCTGCTTCCTTTGGCCCATATTATTAAGTCTTTTAGCTGCCCCTCTAGTTTTCAAGCACTGAGAAGGGCCCAGAGGTATCTTTTCAAATAAATAAATGGTGCAGGGGATTGATCAGCCTCCTATCTTTTGATGGAACAAATGCTGACTTTGTTGTACCAATACAGGGCAGCTACCAATATGAACCACAAAAGATATGTGGTCAATCACACTTTCCCCTTTGAACCAAGTATTCCAAGCAACATTGGAAGAAATGAGGGGGGTCTCTTTTCCCCACTTTTTCTGGCCCCATTTAAGAAAAACATATTGTTTACACTTACAATTGGGAGGGGAGAGAAGATGGGGAAATAGTTTGTGGATAATATTAAATGAACTATTAAATGATAAATGTTACTATATACCAGATTTGATTTTTGTTATCAGTTAGGCAGAAAGGGGGAGAAGTAGAATGAAGAATTAAGGGTAGTTATTTTTAGAAGAGCTTCCTCTCCTCTCCATTTTCGACCCATCTTCCTATTTACTTTTTAAAGCCTAAGAAGTCTAACTTAAAAGGGAAAAAAAAGTGACTCTTGTTTCTATCCAAAAAGGTTTTGTGTGATGGCAAAAAAAATCCACACAGGAATATTCTATTTGCTTTTATTAATTAATGGTTCAGTTTCATAGCAATCAAAAATTCATGAATATTGTACAGATACAGGCAGGAAAAAATATGCAAGGCACGCAAAATGAGTGCCTAAACTCACTGATGAATACATGTTGTTGTTGTTAATTGCGAAGTCGTGTCCGACCCATCGCGACTCCATGGACAACGTTCCTCCAGGTCTTCCTGTCCTCAATATGAATATATATTGACAGGATAAAAAGAAATAAGATATTGAACTATCACAGTTGTTTCATGCAAAAAGTATCAGTCCTATAAGATAGATCAGTCCAGGAAATCAATGTGACAGAGGTCTAAGACTAATTTTACAGTAATAGTTATAGTAAGTAACAAAATCTTGCATATTTGAATAGGTTTTTCTCCTCCCTCCTTTTATCATTGAATGAATTAGGGAGGGGCTTGTCTCAGATATTTTCTCACATTAGTTTCATGGAAAAGCCTGAAACCACACTTGTCTCTTCTCTGCCTTAGTATCAGTTCTTCCTCCTGTCCCCCAAGGCCCTTCCCTATATCCCTAGAATGAAAAACATTTAATGGTGATGATGATGATGATGATAGAAGGGACCTTGGAGGTCATCTAGTCCAACCTCCTGCTCAAGTAGGAAACCCTAAATCATTTCAGACAAATGGCTGTCCAGTCTCTTCTTAAAAACTTCCAGTATTGGAGCATTCACAGCTTCTGGAAGCAGGTTGTTCCACTGATTAATTGTTCTAACTGTCAGAAAATTTCTCCTTAGTTCTAGGTTGTTCCGTTGCTTCTTGTCTTGCTTTGGAGAATAGTTTGACTCCCTCTTCTTTGTGGCAGTCCCTGAGATATTGGAACACTGCTATCATGTCACCCCTCGTCCTTCTCTTTAGACTAGACATACCCAATTCCAGCAACCATTCCTTATATGTTCACTAACACTACCATGCCCTGTGCCCGCCACCTGTTTTTCTGGCTCCTTTTAAACAAAAGGTGCCTCTTTCACAGTTCCAATCTATATTAAGAATAGCAATTAATGGTATTTGACATTTGGTGGGAGGAAAAGACAGAGAACCCATCAACTGGTTTTCTTAATTTGTCCCATAGTAAATAGTAAGGATATTAGTTGCTAGCCTCACCCAATTAGAATAGCACTTGGCAGAGCATTTTACCATATACAGCATAGTCTTCTGTTGATTCATAAATTGGAAGCGTTCACATTAATATGACTATGAAGAAGAGCTCTTACAGTATACCAAAGGGTTAAAGAATTTTTTCCCCTATTTATTGAAAAGAAATTATTCAGAATCAATGATTCTATACAGCAGTGTAGAGTGGAGAAAGCAGAGCACCATGTCATCCTGGAAGCTGTTTTGTTTTCCTATATCTGAAAGTGCTCGTAATAAATCATAATTAGACAGGAGCTGGACTAATAGACTGTAATGTAGAACCACGGAAAGCTGAACATATAAATGAGCTAAAAGCTGAGGTAGAAATTGATGTAGGAGATTCAAGCTTTCTACTGTTTTCTTCTACTTTGGCAAGTTGGAAAGTTACAGAAATTCAGTTATGGTTCAAAATTGCAATATCGCTATTAAACTCTCATTTCAACATTTCCGCATTGTTCTCATGTCTGTGCTAAGACCCAGCTTGTAGTTAATTTTCTTATTTGCACTATAATTGCAACACCAACCTGTCTGGTACTTTTTTTGCATCTCATTACAGCAGGTGATATCATATGCAGAAACTCAGTTTTGTGCTTTTGGAATGGATAAAATATCTCAAAGGGGTCAAAAATAAAGGGCAAGAGTTCAACACAAGCAGAATACAAATGTATTTGATTTTTTAATCCAATTCAACATTGATTCAAGTAACTATATTATATTGAGGACTACATAAAATGGGGACAAGATGTACATTATTGATTTGACTTCAAATCAATAGTATTTGCCATGAATTGGTCTATGATGCCTAGATTAAAAAAAGACAACAGCAGCAACAATAAATCAATCATATTATTTGCATTATTTCAATTTTTTACTCATTACAAAGTCAAACTAATTAACCTAGGATATAATTCTCATGGAAAGTGTTTAACTTAGACTAATGTGAGCTTACCTGTTTTAGGTATAGCTCTATTGTTTAGATATAGCAATCTGGCAAAGCATAATAAATTATTTTTGTTCTCCTGAGACTTCTAAATCCAGAATGTTAAGTACCTGTCAAGTTACAATTTATTGCTAAATGTCTTTTGGGAACAATTGTTGCAAGAAAGCTTTCGCTTGACCATTGAAACGGAAGATTAATAATTAAAACCTGTCTATTAAAAAAGTGTTAGGTTCATGTAGGGAAGAACACTTATTTTTTTTTATGAGATGGAGCAGTGACTTCACATTGTTTTCTGTTTGCACTATTCATCACTTCTAAATGCTGAGCAGTACACAATCCCAGCATGCATCGCACACCAGGGGACATTCCTGGCATGACAGCTGCCATGTCTGCAGCTGCACTGGAGGGAAAAGAGGACTGAGATTCGGTGCTTGGTCTCTGAAGCAAGCTGCACTTGAGCTGTCACTCTTGCTTTCCAGGAATATAAATAGGCAGATGGGCTTTTTTTTATTGTAATGAATGCTCAGCAAGTGCAACACAGGCCACGAGAGGGGCAACCATAGGGAGCAGGCCAGGACCAACAGCACTCTTGCCTAGGATTGTCATCACTGTCAATGCCACTCATGTGACAAATGAACCCAGACTTGGGGAGGGAGAGGGGAGGAGGAAGAAGGTGAACCTGTCTCAGATCTGGTGATGGGTGATGCTACAATAGCTGAGAAGTCCTTACAGGTTGAAAAAGAATTAAGGCAGAATAAAAAAAGAGGTGATGGGGATGATCAAAAGACTCTCTTCTATAAATATCCTGTCCTCCCTAGCTATGTGTGCCAGGAATCTTATGAAAGTTATAATCCAATATATCTAAACAGTCTAAAAATGGCTTTCACTATTTTATGCTAAGCAATCTTAGACCTTTCAATTCACAAAAGAACAGGCAAACGCACAAGAATGGGCAAATTTCCAGAACTCTTATCAGATAAGATGCTCTTTTTTTATTGAAAAATTTTTAAGTTTTACAAAACAATTCCCTTCCCCAAACCCCCCTGACCCTCCCATACACTCCCCAACCTCCCCAATCCTCCCATGCCCTCCCCCAACCTTCCCAGAGCTGGATACAGGCTTAATTAAAATTTTTCAGAAAATCTTAAAACACATATAAATCCTAAACAAATCTAAATACATTAATTAAACAAGTTATAAAATAATTAACAATAGTAAATTTTAAGTGTAAGTTATTGAAAAACTAAATAATATATATATAAACAGATTATAATATACGCTAAACATTTTCTAATGTCATAGTTATATTATTATCCATCATTCTTTATAAACTCCCTCAAAAACACAAATGTAAACATTACTTAAAACATTAAAATTCCCTTATACATATTTAAAACAAGATGTTCCTTTAAATACTCCTTCGATATCTATACATACAATATGAAATCTAATCTCTCCCTCTTTCTTTATCCTAAAACACAAAAATAAACATATAAACATTCGTTATACCATTAAAACAAAATACTCTTTTGAATACTCCTTAAATTGCTAGACTTAAACTTCTTATCTAAAATTTTCATACCTTCTCTCCTCTTTTCCAATAACCAATTCCATCCACAATAAACTATAATCTATCAATAGAATATCATAGTTATATTTATCCATCATTCTTTATAAACTCCCTCAAAAACACAAATGTAAAAACATTAAAATTCCCTTATACATATTTAAAGCAAAATGTTCCTTTAAATACTCCTTAGATATCTGTGCATACAATATAAAATCTAATCTCTCCCTCTTTCTTTATCCTAAAACACAAAAATAAACATATAAGCATTCATTATACCATTAAAACAAAATACTCTTTTGAATACTACTTAAACTGCTAAACTTAAACTTCTTATCTAAAATTTTCATACAATCTCCATAATCTTCTCTCCTCTTTACCAATAACCAATTCCATCCACAATAAACTATAATCTATCAATAACCTAAAAACAATCTATACATTCCTTATCAATCTCTCTTATCCAAAAACCTCAAAAGAAGTGCTTTGAAATCTGCTCTTAAAGGTTGCTCCAAAAAGTTTACAAATCTTGCTTCTCCCGCAGACTCAGAAACCAATACTTGTGAGGCTTCCTTAACCTCTTTGTTCTGTTGCTCCTTTTCTTTACGTTTATGTGTTGTACGAGTTGTCCTCTGCTCCTTCATCTCGACTTGTTGAGGCCCCTCGAACTGAGGTTTTCCATTTTTCATGAATGTAGGCTCTTCAGGCTGCAATTCTACCCTTGAAGGTTGCTCCAAAAAGTTTATAAATCTTGCTTCTCCCACAGACTCAGAAACCAATACTTGTGAGGCTTCCTTAACCTCCTTCTTCTGTTGCTCCTTTTCTTTACATTTATATGTTACACGAGTTATCCTCTGCTCCTTCATCTCAACTTGTTGAGGCCCCTCCCCATTTTTCATAAATATAGGCTCTTCAGACTGCAATTCTACCTTCTTCTCTTCCAAAGCTTTGAACATAATGGATGGCGATAAACATACCCCCAGGACCGAAGTGTAAAACTCTTTTGCTTTAAAAACTGTATTAAGTCTATAACATGTCCCCAGGTAATTCACCACCATTCCAGTCGGAGCATCCCATCTGAACAACATTCGCCTCTTTTTAAGTTCATCTGCTAAAAAAGCAAACTCCTTTCTTCTTCTTAAAATTTTAGATGGGATCTCCTTTAGAATTATAACATCTTGTGAAGCAATTTGAAACCTCTTCTTATAAAAAGCTTGTATAATTTCGTTGCGCAGGGATCTTTTCCCAAAATAAATTACCACATCTCTTGGCAAATTCCTTTGCTCTGCCACCACAGAATTAACTCTAAATGTTTTTTTCAATTTCACTAAGTATTTCCTCTTTTTCTCTATTCAAAATCACAGCAAAGTCATTTGCAACCATCTCCCTCAGATCTCCTTGCAAAGATTCTCTTAAGCCTCTAATTCTTAAAGCATATTCCATTTGTCTATATTGAAGCATAAGAATCTCATCTTGAAAATTTTCCATCTCTTTTTCCATACTTTCAAATTTTCCCTCCATCAA